CTCTCACTGCCCCTCCGTTCCGTTCGTTCGTTTTGTTTTCCCTTTGTTCGTTACTCGCATTCCCCGTTGTCCTCGCAACGCGTCCTCGTCCGTTTCGCGCGGCACGGGCACCAATCGTCTCGCGTTCCAGCCGATCCTTCATTTTTGGGGGGGCTACCTCAACGATCGAGGACGGTCCGGAGCACCGGACGCGGGAGCTAGACGAAGCCTCTTGCGTCGAAGAGCGGCGGCACGCCGATCCTCTGGTTCAGCAGCCCGCCGAGCACCAGCAGGCTCGCCATCAGCACCAAATGGCCGCCGCCGTTCACGCTGGTGCCGCTGCACGTCTCCTTCGAGGCGCGGTCCAGTTTCGCTGGAACAGAACAACAGCGACGCGATTTAACGGCGTTCACACGTTTCGTTGGTTACTGGGGCTTTCGCGCGTACGCGGTTTCTGACGATTTTAAGTACATGGACTATAAATACAGAGGAAATTTCATCTTATAGAAGATGCATGATTTGCACATTGCGTACCGGTAACGAGAAATCTTGTTTTTATATAGACATTTAGCTGTGTAACTTAGATAATTACCACAGCATTGAAGAAAATATAAAATTTAATTCGAATTTATTATCTATTTAATGTATATTACATAATAATATGATATCTGAGTTTTTTAATGTGTTGAAAGGAAAGGAATACATATGTGCTCGTAACTATGAATGTGGTCTAGGTTAAAATTTGAAGAAATCAGTTTATCTGTTATCTCGCATCACATTATTGTAAACTACATTAAAATAAAACAAATATACATATGATTTAGACCATTTTCATAATTATGGGTACATATTTGTCAACCTTGTCGCGATTCGTTGCCGTTTTCTCAGTCCCGACAAGATGGCGACGAGATTGCGGCGGGATCGCCAGCGATACCGCGCGACTGACAAAATGGCAACGGATCGCGACAAGGATGACAAATATGTGTACTTCTTCTTTTTCTAATTGTGTATATTGTGTAAGAGGACATTTTCTCTGTATATGTGGTACACGTACTTAAAGTTGCCAGCGTCACTGGAAGATCGCGGCGATTGTTTTCGAGAAGCAAAGTTCTTCTACCTCGCAAAAGAAGGGTAAAAGAACTTTACGTCTTTGTTCCTTCAAAATCGCACAGTGTCAGAACAGACAGATGTACACTCATCCTTCTGTCCGCGAGACAGAAGAATTTTGTTTCTCCGAAACAATGGCTGCTGCATTTTCCCGCGATCGCCCGCGTGCGTTTGGTCTTAGGTTTGAAGTTGGGTAAGCTTTGGAGTTGATCTTCGTTTCGATGGAAACCGATTTATTCGGTGTGCTTTGGTACAGTGTTTTGGAAAGTATGTGGTTTGGTTATGGTTACTGAGATAAGATCAACTTTGATCTTCTTGCCACTGGGATATCGTATTTATCAAAGAGAAACGCAACGAAAGCAATAACGTCGCTAGGATATCGTATAACACTCGCCAGAGAGAAAGGCAATAATTCGAAAACTAAATCTCCCGTGATAATTCCAACAGTCGAAGCACGAAGCGCAGACGTTCTTTCCTCGAATCGCTGAATTACCGTGCGAGTGACTCGCGAGCGAATCTAATCTCCGGCACGTAAATATCGCGCGCCGTGAACATCACGGATACGTGACGCACACAAAATCCCACGGAAACGTCCGTGACACAATCTAATAATCTCAAAAATAGCTGGAAACCCCGAATAGGGGTTGACAGAGGATGAAACTGGGTTAAAGAGAGGGGATCGAACCGCGCGGACGTTCCACGAGTTTAGCCGCGCACTCGAAGTATTAATTAAGAGTGAGGATCGGTGATTAACGGTACAACGGTCGAGTGCTGTTAAAATGTTCCTGGGAGCTCGCGCGCGGAAAAAAAAGCGGCGAGCCACCGAAAAACGAGCCGCCGAGCCCGCGACAATCCTCTTTCAAGGCGGAGAACCGGAGTCCTCGTCGCGTATCCTTCACGAGCTTGAATAGCGGCCATTCATTCGTCTTCCGCTTCGCTTAAAATTCGTTAACGCTGGCTCGCGCACACGGGAGCACGCGCGCTCCGTGGCGAATGCCGTCCTCGCACGGCAAAGAAAAAGCTTAACGCGTTCAAGCCGGCGGCCCATCCAAAATCCGGCGAGATTATTTAATGAAACGGAAACTGAAGCGCTCGGATTAACATCTTTTTTTCAGCGCGATACGTACCGCTCTTTCAAGCTCCTCGCGGATGTTAACGAGGATCGGGTTCGCTCGGCGCATCGCTGCGAGATTGAAGTTTCAACGTTTCCGCTGCTATTCGTTCGAATATCGCGTTTCGATCGATAGCGTCTACTTCTACTGGCTCAATCGAGGGTTGAATTTGACAAGTTTCTAATCTGTTAGGTTAGTACAAGTGTGATGATTTTTCGAATGATTGCTTCGTGGACGGTGGGATTCTTTTCTCAAATGAACGTCTTCTGCTCCTTCGAATTTTCGAAGAACAATTATTTCACACGTTACACGCGATGCGTTTAGTTTATCGGTATAAATTCTTCAAGACTTCGCTGCGAATGATCCGAGAATGATTTGAGAATGTTGATTAGTTCGTCGGAAGCGAGATTATCAACTCCTTCGCGCCGTACCGACGCGAAATTCCGGAACGGGACGGCGGAGGTCCGAATTTCCGCGCGTCTCGCATGAAAAGGGGTCCGAGTTCGAGGCTCCCTCGGTCGAATCTCGGTTTCCGGTCGTCCGGGCGGCGGTAAGAGGCGAGTGCTCCGTGAACCGTGAGACGGGCCGCGCCGGGAAGGGAGGATATCTCGTAGGCGCACGTGTCGGGCCAGACGAGCGAGAAAAATTCCGTGTGGCTGCTCTCTCGCGTCGCGAATATTAATGGGCTTCCGCAAATAGCCGCGGGCCGCTCCGCTTTGCCGTGGACATTTCATAAAGCGGCGGGAACAATGGGAACAGCCGTGGCAGACGATGCGAGGCAACGGGACCGAGGCGGTGGTCGTCGTTCCTTTGACGCAGCGGCCGCATTAATCGGCCGAATATAAAAGTAATAAAACGGAGAGGGGCAGCTTAGGGAAAGGGAGAGATGAAAGAGAAACGAGGGGAGGGGGAGGG